AGTTAATAAAAGTTACATAGCAAAAACTAGTTGAAAACACTTGTATGGTTCTGCAAAATGAAAAAAATTTAAATAAAAGTTTTGAAATATTATAAAAAATGTTAACCAAAATAAATATATATAACCAAAATAAATATACATATTTTTTTTGGTTTTTAGTAAAAATTGGTTGAAAAATGAAGGCTCCGGTGAATTATGAACATTAAATTCCAATTTTGCAATATGAATTATGGTAAACGCATTTTGGTAGCAAAGGATGGCGAAGTCCTTGAAAAGGATTTGGCTTAATTTTTCGCTACAGCAGGGGAACTTGTACAATTAAATAATATAATTAACTGGTAAATATTTGATTTAAATTACGATATGGGTAAGGTACTTTTATCATACAAGTTGGTCACCGTAAGTATACGTTATGTACGCAACAGGACCCTCTAGTCAAATGAACTAGCTGTAAACTACCTCACTACTAGTATGAACCGCATGCCCAACTAGTCAGCCAACTATCTTTTTTCCATGCAATCAACCGGTGTTTTTAACATAGGGATGTCCTACGATATGGCAATTGTCAGATTTCGGTCAGAAATATACCAGTCTTATACTAGTTCAAAATAGGCAGAAAAATACTAGTTTAATTATGGACCAAAACCACTACTTTGGGAGTCAAAACATAAAACGAATTCATGAATATACAATAAAATACTTTTGATTAAGTACACTTTTATATATTACAAATTTTTATTTAGACCCTTAGATTTGCCAATAACACTATGCGACAGTCAAAATCGGGATGGGATGAAACCAACGGGAAATGTTATATCGGTCAAAAACAAGTTATACGTGTCCCGGCGTTTCGCTGGGTCACATCTAGGAATCGAGATATATATATAACTATCATATAGGGGGAATTGTCACCTTTGGTGGTCTTTTTTGACATAACTCGAGAACCACTAGTCCGATTTTGCTCAAACAAATTTAAAAAAATTTAAAATTACAATTCCTTTAATCTGTTCATATAACATTTTTCTATATAATCAACAGTTTTAAAAAAATTTAATATTTTATGCAAAAAATATTTTTTTTCTTCATACATTTATTTTTACCGGCAAAACTGTTGATTATATAGAAAAACGTTATATGAACAGATTAAAGGAATTGTAATTTTTAATTTTTCTAAATTTGTTTGAGCAAAATCGGACTAGTGATTATCGAGTTATGTCAAAAAAAAACCACCAAAGGTGACAATTTCCCCTATATGATAGTTATATGTATATATATCTCGATTCCTAGACGTGATCCAGCGAAACGCCGGGACACGTGTAACTTCTTTTTTACCGATATAACTTTCCCCGGTAGTTTGAACCCTTCCCGATCACTGACCCCTACCATTTGTCTCACAGTGTAATTAGTGTTAAATTTTTGAGTATTAACTAAATGCATAAATAAATACATAAATATTCTAAACTTCCGAACACACATTTAAAGGCATTTTTCATTAAATGTTATTCAAAGTAAAAGGTTTCAGGTACCGTAAATACTATATTTTTATCTTTTGTTAGTTTTTGATATTTTATGGCCTTATAAGAATTATATTCAACAAGTTTTATTGAGTTTGATTTCAGTTGAGTTGAGTTTCAATGAAAAACTATTGTGCAAAAGCAACAATAATTTTGTTATAAGGCCATAAAATAACAAAACCAAATGACTTAAGGACGAGCACACCGAAAAAGTTAAACATTCTAAAAAAATAGAATTATTAGCAAAACCAACAACCACATGATAAAGTTTAAATAGCACTGGAATAGCTGCGCTTGATTGTAGTTGGCTTCACAAATGAAAAAAGTGGAAAAAAGCAACAAGAATTTACAAGGCGAATATAGCACGGTGCGTAGGCAACTGGCTGAGTCAGCTGGGGTCGTTGGATCGAATCCCACTGAAAGAAGTCTGATGAGGAAAGGTGGTCATTTCCGAAATAGCTATCACATGTACCATTTTTTCAAAATTATTGTTGCTTTTCCACAATAGTTTTTCAATAAAAACGGCATCTAACTCAATATAAATTGTTGAATACATTTTAGTTAAAAATAAAATAAATACTTTAGTTTATTTTGAGTAAACTAAAATAAAAATAAAAGTTTTCATTAAAATAAATTAAATTCTTTATCTTTGCACTTTTCAGTCTATTCTTTTTAAAACTTTTTAAAAGTAATACTTAATGTTTAAAATGTGAGATTCGGATGAGAATAAAATAAATAAATAATTCAAGCAGTTATTGAATATTCTTAATTTTTGTCTATAGTTTGGCTTGTTGAGGTTCTAGGTAAATTCATCCCAGAGAACTAATCCCAAAACAACTCATCCCGGAAAATGTAACCCAAAAAATGTCATCCCAATACAAACTCATCCCAAAACAAACTCATCCCGGTAAATTCAACCCAATAAATATCGTCCCAATACAAACTCATCCGGATAGAAATTTATACATATGATTATATTGTCTTATATTAATATTTTCAGCACAATGTCATTAAATATACTTTTCATTCGTAATTTCTCCACATACAAATATACATATAGGCAAAATTTATAACGTGTTTTCAAAAACAAACGTTTTGAGCAACATGTTCCAAAAACTCTACAACTAGCTCTTTGTCGTACTTCATTACTACTCTCTCCAATCGAGCTTCATAATCCACATACTTCCTCTTTTTTTTTAGGACATTCGCGGCCGGCCTCTTGCTGATGAATTTTTAACTCTGTTGTACCCTGTTCTGCTTTTAATAAGTTTATAAGTTTCCAGATGGAGACATGACTGGCTTGTGCACGAACTGAAAAAGCATTGTGCCACCCCTCACAAGCATTATTTGTGCGTGGTTCAAAGTTTTTTACGGAATCGTAATGATTCCATAATAAGTAATCAAAACGATGCAGCCTACGAACACCACGACGATTAACTTCACCCATCCAAGTTCCCTCATAATAATCCAAGAGTGGATTCAATAATTCTTTGTTTATGTCATAAAATTCCGAATTCATTAAAGTATTGTAAGCCACAGGGATATCTTCAAGTGGAACAAATGCCATCGAGATTAATTTGCGTAAATGTAATGCAAACATACCGTCATCTGCATATTGTTGCTGTAACCCTGCTTTTTGAATATGAGACCACACAGACTGTGCGAAATGAAAGAAACAGCACTTGATAATCGTTTCAGGAAACACATCTCTCACTGCGTGGTGAAATGCTACTTCAAAATCACACATAATTTTTTTAGGATGCAAACCGGGTTGGCTTCGTTTAAGTCGCTTCAAAACATTTCTATATACTTTCTTGCTCTTACCAGTACTCAAAATAAATACAAGAGATACAGGCTGAAGGTCATCGCGTACGCCATGAATGATATATAGTTGCTGAAAAAGATGAAGCACACAATCAAATGTACCATCAGCAAACCATAAATCACATGACGATAAAACATCCAAATTAAATTTAGTGGTAAACACTAAAGTTCATTTTGATTTTCCATCATCTCGTGAGTCCCAAAACTGAAACTTGTCACCTTTTAATGTATAAGCAAATTCATCGGAAATTGTCAATTCATTGGCTGATTTAGGATTGGGTGGTATAGGATTATTAATTGCCCGGTAAGAGCGTAGCGTTCATTTCATGCTATCTGGATCAGGAAGACGTGCCGCAGTTGACTTATCAACTTTTCCGATAATGTGTGCAACAACATTAGAAATCGGTACCGATTCCATTTTGACCATCCTCTTCCCTTCTTCCATTACTAATTTAGCATCAACTTCCGCCCGATTAGGAGCATGATTATGAGCACCAGATCTTTTCAATATGGCCCCTGGAAAGCGAATTTGTTTCATTAGAACTAACCTTGATAAAAGAACAGATAAAAGAAATATGTAATCAATGTCATTTCCCCGTAGGCGTATCGTTTGTCGTAAAAACTCTCGCTGTACAACCATCACGATGTCTTTTACACCGCCATGCAATGCTTCCTTTGTTACTTCGGTGTTTTGTCAGCAAATGACCTTCATCTATTAGAATATTTCCACCGCGTTGACTACAAATACATTTTAAAGACATATTAGACACTTTTTATGAACTAAACCAAAAAACAGGACGAGCACGAATCACGTGTGTAATGGTAGACTATCCACGATCTACATATTTATTTTAACTCTATAAAGTTATGCACACAATAACCCAGTTGACAGGCCAGTTGATGCGCCCCAATAACAAAATATGTTACTTACAGTTCTATTCGAGGATATGTATACTAATTTTACATTTAATTGTTATTTACAATTTTGACAGCTTTTTGCACTTTCCACTCTATGAACCGGCGAATCGCATTTCACCACACCAACTTTTTCACCAATATTTACCAAGGAGAGCATCACTATTAACAACAGCAAACGCGGTAGCATTATTCAATGTCAACCTCGTTGACAATGACATGATTTGCGCGTATGTATTAAGGGTAATCAAAATCAAGTGCAAATTAACAACAATATAATGCAAACCTTTGCTATGGTAGCAAGCATAAATTTTGAAAATGCACCGAAATATGCAAAGGCAAGACCATATACAAAGGGTTTACTATAAATGCATGCATTCGCATATCGTCCCGTTTCTGCCTTAACCACGTATCTATAATTTTTGGGAAAACTAATAGTACCACATATAACAGCTGTTTAAGCGTCACACTATTTGAAAATAGAACAAAGACTTAATGAGGGTTCTCACTACTGTTAGTGGAACCAGAAATATTAAGTAAAAAATTCGTTTATTGTATCCTAGAGGAAGAAATTAAGAATTTTTTCTTACACTCTCTAAAATACCTCTATTGCAGATACGAGGTTAAGGCAGAAACGGGACGATATGTAGACATGTACATTAGAGTGGTTAAAAAAAAAACACTCGTTTTGGAAATTAAGAAACGCTACATCAAAATATGGTTATTTGTGATAAAAAAAACCCTTATTTTATTCTTTAAAAAAAAAAAATTTATAGGTCGCGCTGGACGGTTTTTTTATAAAAAGCTGATGTTCTCATTTTTTTTTATTTTCGTGACATGTTAAAGTGCAGCTAAACATGTTGCTTTTGCAACAACAAAAAACACTTGTACATACCTATTGATTTGCACATACAAATGTTAATATGTACTCGATGGTATACACTTATACAGGTTAGAAAAATTTATTTTATTTAATTGTAGCGATTTTCTGTAAATAACTTTTTAAATCATTCTCATGAAAACACAAAATAGCATCTATCAGACCAATAACGGCAACATAATTTCAATATATGCAAAAACGAGTTCAGTTTAGGATAAGAAAAATGCAAAAGTTCTAATATTTTCTACATCAGAGTACACAAGTATGACACCATGAAATCAAATTGCAAAATACAGTGAAAAGCAAATTTCTTAGTAAATATTTACATTTTTTAAAAAGTTAAGAAAGTATTTTCTCAAAGAAAAGGTACTTAGCACTGTTATTGTAATATTTCAACGGCATATAGTAGTTTTAGAAATATTAAAGTTTTTATTAATCTTAGGTACTTATTTTCATAGTTCCGATTCGAATTATATTATGAATATTTTAAGTAAAAAAGGGCAGAAAAAAAAACTACGAAATCAGATCAAAATTTCTGAGGCTATGGCATTAAACTAAATGCTTATCTGGTCACACTGACGATGTGGATTCTATCATTCTTGTATATGTACATATTTCTATTTCAACAAGCTTTGCGGTGATTATAAAATTGCTTCTCGCACAAAAATTAATGCATTTTTCACAACTCTGATATGTATATAGTACCAACTTTCGCGTTTTTTATATACTACATACATACGTATGTACGCATTTGTGTTTTTTCATGAATATCTACATAGCTAGACTGCAGCAGTTGCAATTATTTATTCATAGAGAAAAGTATACATACATATGTAATAACTCATAAAATAATTTTACTACGGAAATATTGCATTTTATAACAGTACGTACAAAGATGAATTTTTAAATAAGCAAAATGCTGACAGCATTTCATCATCTTAAAAGAAAAATATATATTTACATCTTTTATAATACTCAAACTGCCGTTCGAGGAGAAAATGCGCTTCGCGAACCAACCTTGTTATTGACAGTTTCCACGCTGCATCGTTCTGGGCCTTTCTCTATAATCAACCTTCTCTTAAGTTACCTCACCCCATTAGCGCACACAAGGGGTGGGTTTTGGGGTTCAAACCCCCCCTAAAGCTAATAACCTCAAATACAAACTGTATCTTAAAGCTAAGAATCCAGCTCTCAAGGAAATTATAAGATATATTTATTATAATTTCTGTTGCTTGAAAAAGCGCTTTGCTTTTGCTGTAAATTTTCATGAGGAAAAGAATATACGAGCATTTTTTTCTTGAGAGCTGCAAACTGATTTAAGAAATTTTGGTAGAAGAAAATTTCTTTGCATTTCTCGTCCGTCGTTTTATATGAATTTTTGGCTTTTCTTGAGAGTTCAGTTAATTTTTTCGGTATTCGAAATATTAAAAAAAATTAGAAATCGTGAAAAATCACCATCTCTATCGAAAGCCAGAAACCAGAAATCGAAAAAAGGAACATAAAAGTGCAAAAATTCATAGAATCAATAAATTTATTTTTACTGAGTCTTATTTAAAATTTTTTCTTAGGTACTTTTGAAAGTTGAGCGCATCTTGAGTTTATAGCACTTTTTATTAAACAAGTAGTTTTTAAGGAAAGAACACAACCGGCTTCAATTCTTATATTCAAATTTAGGGGTACCGTTAATTTCTTCATGATCCAATCATCGGATCTCTAAACCAAATTACGGGACGAACCTTGAGGTACCATCTTTCTACAAAAAAATGATTATTGAAATCGGTTCACGTGGTCCAAAGTTACGTATTCCGGCGAATTGATAACCTCCCCTTTTTTTAAAGTCGGTTAAAAGTGTTTGAGTTCTGTTAATCTTATGTAAATAAAGTGCAGTTTATGAATTTTAAAACGTTTATTTATTTATTACATACTGTACATAAAGCTTGCATAAATATATTTTAAAGAGCGTATTATCTGAAGAAAATTTTCAGTATTTTCCGGTGATATATCTTCAGAAACATAAAACCCCCCTAAAATATATTCCTGGGTGCGCCCCTGCCTCACCCATTCTCACTAATTGCGATCCCATCTTCACATTCTTGTATGCTATCATACTATATGTATGTGGAGCAATTACGAATGAAAAGTATATAGAATGACATTGTGCTGAAAATATAAATATAAGACAATATAACCATATGCATAATTTTCTATCGGGATGAGTTTGTATTGCGACAATATTTATTGGGTTGAATTTACCGGGATGAGTTTGTTTTGGGATGAGTTTGTATTCGGACATTTTGTTTTGGGACGAATTGTAGCGGGATTAATTTGTGGGACCAATTTACATGGGATATATTTACCGGATACCTAATTTGACCAACTATTTCATAGCTCAAAGAAGTACAGGAACTGGAAACCAAAAATAGTATGAAAGAAATGAGAAAATGGTAAAAGAAGAATATACAAAAATGGTAACAGTATACCTACCAATTCAACAAATAAATTTTATTTATTAAAAATCTATACTATAAATTATTCTCAGGCAAGGCGATTATTTCCAAGGATCTACTAATCGTGCAAGTCATGGATCAAATTAATGTGTTCGATCTGAAACTTTTAACAGACATTTCAGGTTTAAGAATCATTAGACAATTGAACAAAGCATTGCTACGTTCATTGCAAGAGGCAGCATGGTGCGCTCTGAATATGGAGTAAAAAAGGACGCCCACAGCAACAACTGAAATGAGTGTTTTCGGAGCGCTCCGAGATGCGGTGTTTTTCTGTTATCTGGTCGGTGAATTAAAAAATAAATTTTCATTCACGAAGAAACTGATCGTCGTTTCCGAATATTCCTGGAAACGGACACCGCAAAAAGAACTGTTGATGTTATGGCAGTTTCAAATGCAGAATTTCCACTAGGCATTGAAATGACAAAAAGTTGGATGCATTTAAAATGTGGCATGTGGAAATAAATTTAATGACTATTTTTTAAGGTAATGACAAGAATATTTTTTAATGCCCAGTTTGTCTTTAGAATTTCTGCTATTTAATGCGTAGTGGAAATTTAGCATAACTTTAGAACTTTTCAGATGTATTTATTAGAAAACTAGCAGACCCGGCGAACTTCGTCCCGCCCAAAATTTTAATATATTTTATTGAAACTTTTTGGTCCAACATTTTCACCAACAATTCACGTTTACGATTTTCATTGGCACATTAGTCTGCTAAGATTAAGGTTTGGTGGTCATTTGCCGCTTTAAATAACCTAAGGAAAGTGTTATATCCGTTCTTGAAATTCTCCGGTTGTGCGGCATGTCATAGCACGGTTATTCGCAAAGCGAAATAAATTTGTTCCTCTTCACTCCCTGGCGGCAACAATGACCCGGTTCTATAGTGAATGTCCTAGAAGCTTTACAGTACAGTAGGTGGCAATTTCAAAATGGGTGCGAATCATTGTTCTACAGAAATGCAATATACATATACTTATTTCAGACGAAATACCTTAAAAGTTTGAACGCATAATAATATTGGAAAATCACATCCATTGGGCCAATTGCAACGCAGGAGCGTTCGATATACTCAATGGTGCAACAGGTCGATTTAATCTGACCTTCACGGCCCCTTTTCTCACTTGGCTATTTTTAGTAATAGCTCGACTTCAGCACCACTTGGCAGCACGTTTTTGCAATAGTATTGCACACATATTTAAAACATTAGCCAAATCGGATCATAAATAAGATTTTTAGTAATAACTCAACTACAGCGCCAACTGTCGGATTAAATTGTGAAACTAAACCATCCAGAGACCCACTCAAATACACAAAAAGTTTCATTAAAATCCGTTCAACCATTTCGGAGGATTTCACTCACACACACACCTACAGAAGAATAAAAAAATTCATTCAAAGATAGCTAAAGGTCGGTACGTTTGTAGGCCTCACACCCCGTTTCAAATAG